GCTGGCTCTGCTGCGCGTGGCCGCTCTGGCCCAGCTCTGGCTAGCGTGCTCGGGACTGGCTACCTGATGGCGGTGGAGGCCAGCGCCGCTACTCTGCAAGCTGCGCGCGCTGAAGCTGGTGATGGATGGGGCGACCTCATCAACGACCTGCTCGGCCAGGTGGCGCCCGACCCCCCGCCGCGGCCAGACCCAGAAGGCGGAGCACCGCTCAGACCTGGGCTGCCTGCTGGCGACGCTGGGGCTGGGACCTGCCCAAGCGTCGTGCCTCCACGGCAAGGTGTGTCGACGGCTCCTCAGGGTGGGCTTGCGGACGCTGCCCTCAATGACGCTGCTCCCCCGAGCGGCGCGCCTCGAGGAGCTAGGGGACCCACGCCCGCTGCCTGTGGTGCGACGCTTGGGCGAGACGCTGGTCCGACAGGCTGGGCTGCGGCAGATAGGCCAGCTGCTCAGAAGGCTAAGGCGATCCGTCTTGCGCCCAAGGAGCGCGGCTACCTCGCCTCGGTCATCGTGGACGGCCAGTGGTCACAGCGCCGAAAGTACCTGGGCGGCTACGCGGCGGACGACAAGCGCTTGCTGCGCGGCGACGCTGGCACGCTGCTGCACAGGCACACGCGCTGCAGCGGATGGCCGCCCGAGCTGCGGCTGCCCAGCAAGATCCGCGAGCTGGCGGACAGGGCCGAGCTCGAGGAGGTGGAGTGCCTGCTGGAGCGCGTGCTGTGGCCTGCGCCCCGCGGCATCATCAAGCCGCCTCGGCCTCCTGGGCTCAGCTGGCTGGGCCAAGACGTTGGCGGCATGCTGCCGTCTGGCGACGTGTACCTGGACGGCTCCGCCTACGAGGGTGACTTCCAGCAGTACACGAGCGTCGGCTGGGCTGCGGTGGTGCTGCAGGAGGGCGCGGACGCCTTCCGCACTGGCATCTCGGGCGCGCTGTGCGAGCCCTTCGCCGATATCAACGGCGGCGAGTTGGCTGCGCTCATCGGCACGCTGCGCCATGCAGTGCCGCCCGTCAGGGCCATCGTCGACTCGAACTTCGTGCTCGAGGGTGTGCTGGAGCACGGACCGCTGAACACGACGCGCTGGGGCTACGCGTGGGCCCACCTCTGGCGCGAGCTCTGGCGGCTCGTCGAGGACTTCGGGGGGATAGGCCCGCAGGGCCTGACCCTCAAGAAGGTCCCTGCGCACGTCTCGCGCCGCCGAGTGGTCGACGACGGCGTCATCACCGCGCGCGACTGGATCGGCAACAGCATCGCTGACCAGGCCGCGAAGCGTGCGGCCGAGCGCGCGAGAGTCGCGCCCGAGGCCCGCCAGCGCCTGCAGTCGGCACGGGAGCTGGTCGAGGGCGTGGCCTTGTGGGTCTCCGCGGTTGGGGCCGCAGTGGGCGGGGACGACACCACCCACCGCGCGGCGAAGCCCAACAAGGTGGCCCCGCGAGCAGCGCTGCAGCCCGTGGCTGCAAGGCTCGGCTGCGACCTCCGCGGGCCGCCTGGGGCGCGATGGTGCAGCAGGTGCCGCTGGACGGAGCGCGCCAGCGAGTGCCCTGGCTCGAGTGTGGCGTCCGCCCTGGACCACAATAGGAGGCTGCGGGCACAGGGCGCTCTGGCGCACGTGATCGCGAAGATCGAGCCGCAGGTCGAGGCCCAGCTGCAGCGCGAGATGCCGCTGCTGGCCTGCCTCGTCTGCGGGGCCACGGGCGCGGCGAGGAGCTCGTCATTTGCCCGCGCCTGCGGGGGGCCCGGGGCCAAGGGCAAGCTGGCGATTGCCCGCCTCGCCAAAGGCTTCGCGCCAGGCGTCGTTGGCCGAGTGGCCGTCAGGATGGAGCAGCTCGGCGACGACGACCTGGACTCCTTCGGCGGCGTCCTGGACGGGCCGCTGCCCTGAGGCGCGCGCGGGGGGAGGTGGCCCCACATCCACGCGTTGCGCCCTCGGCGGCGGCCACTACTGCCAGTTCGTCGCGGTCTCCCTCGACGAGCTCGTGCGGGTCTTCCTGACCCTGGCCCCGCGCGCTGGGGCGCGCGCGGGCCGCCCGTCCGCTCGACAGCGCGGTCGGAAGCTCGCGGATCCTCCTCCTCCTCCTCCTCCTCCTCCTCTTCCTCCTCCTCCTCCTCCTCTGGGGGTCAGGTTCGTTGGGGGGCTGCCGGAGTGCACCGGGGGACCGACGCGGCCCGTGTTTCGCCCACCTCGGGCCTGCCGAGGCCCCAGTGGGGGCCCGCGGACGCGCAGCCCGAGATGGAACGCTGCGGCCCCTGCAGCTGCAGGCGCGTGCCTTCTATAGGGCCAGGCGCAGAGGGCGTCGGGGAGCTTTGGGGACCCAGACACGATCGCGTCGTTGGAAAATCCGGACGGGAGGTGTTTGCCTATTTCCGACCTCGGGGGGCCCTCGCCAGGCCTCGGGACCGTCAAAAAACGACTCAGGATGAAAAGCCGGTCCTGGGGAATGGATCGAGACTTCTGGGGACCCCGTATTGAAGAAATCACGACGTCGGATCTCTGGGTTCCCCTGAGATCCTGGCGTTTCAATTGGGGGCCCTCTCAGATCGACCGGGCTCGAATAATGGCGCAGAAAGGTGGGGCCTGGGGCTATGGCCGTGAGTTCCTACAATGTCTCAATTGTTTCGCGCCGTCGGATCTCGGGGTCCTGCCGACCCCCCCCCCCGCAAAAAAAACAACGACACCACCAAGTTTACGGCTCTACATTCTGCGCTGCGGCCCATCGGGGACCGCAGCGCATGCCACGCAGAAGCCCACGCCAGGCTTGTTTGTATACGCTGAGCCCCGTTGGGCCGTAGGTGGGATGGGGTCGTTTTCGTTTTCGGGTCTCCCCTCTAAGAAGGTTTCCCCCCTCCTCCTCCTAAGAGGGTTTTCCCCCTCCATCTCCTCCTCCTCCTCCTCCTCCTCCTCCTCCTCCTCCTCCTCCTCCTCCTCCTCCTCCTGCTCCTCCCCCTAAGGTATCTCTGGGAAGCAGCCTCCTTCGAAGAAGGTCTTCCCCCTCCCCCTCCTTACTTGTGCGCGCCGCCGAGTGCCTGCAGGGCCGGGCGTTCCGTCCAGCTGGTCGGGGTCTTGAGGATTCCCGGGCCCCAGAGATTTGGGCGATGGTGAGCGAGGACAACCCAGACATCGGGCGTCTCGAAAAAATCGAGACGGAGGTTTTTCATTTTTTTCTGCCTCTCGGGGCCCTCACCGGGCTTCGGGATCCTCAAAAAAACGACTCGGGATGAAAAACCGGTCCTGGGGAAGCTGTCGGGAGGTCGGGGACCCGTGTCTCGAAAAAATCGCGACGTCGGATGTCTGGGAATGGGGCGCGCGAGAAAATCGCAGTCACGGGTCGAGGCGCTTTCCCATTCTCAAGTCTCCGGGTGGAGATTCTCCGGGGTGCGATTTCTCCAGAGTGGAAAACGGCAGCCGTGGGTCGTCCTCTCTGGGTGGGATTTCCCAAGTCATGGTTCGCAATGCACTGGCTAGGTAGGGGTTTGGTGCGCACCAAGTGAGTCGGGAGGGGAGCAACAACAGACACCATGCATGAATCGTCGATTCCCGGGAAAAGATGGGAAAACATGAAAAGTGGGGTGGAGGGGGGAACGAACCCCCCGAAAGCTAGGAAGATATGGGGGATCCTGGGATGTGTGTGTGTACGTGTTTGTGTGTCCCTGGGCCCCCTCAGGGAGAGCGCGGCCTGCCAGCGGCTGCCCCCCGATGAGGCCCCGTCTCCGCGTGGGGCCGCCGAGCCCCGGGGCGCCCTGCGAGGCTCGGGGCCGACGGAGACTGCGCCCCCGGACGTCGCGCTGGCAGCCCAGACCACCCCAGCGCCACGCCGGGAGGTTTTGCGCTGTCTTCAACCTCCGGGGTCCCCCACCGGGCCTCGGGGTCGTCAAAAGAACGATTCGGGATGAAAGACCGGTTCCGAAGAACGGGTCGAGGGGCTCGACGTCATGGAAAGATCATGACATCGGGGGGTTGGGGATTTTTTCTTGCCGCACGCGCATGCTGTATCGGGAGGGGGTCGGGGCGTCTGGGCCCGCCGCGGAGATTGCCAAGGGAAGGGGGGGGCTCTAAGTGGACGCTAGGGCATCCTCTGGCCATGCCTAGCTTACAAACGGGTTGCAACTGTCATG